ATTAATTAGGTGAAATTTTGTAACAGTAGAAAATGTCGGTATTACTATGCCTTTCGGATTTTACATTATTTCATTAAATTCATTACTTCAGCAAGTATACTCCAATAATTGTGGCTTTCTTTTATTATTATTATTATTATATGATTTGGATAAAGATAAAAGGTCCCTATGTCCCTGGGGATGCTCAAAATAGTTGGTACTTGCTCTTCAACATTTATTAGGTTGAAGCTTAGAAGATGTTATGTTGTTGTAGCTGACATTTATTAGGTTTTGTATAATTATTTTCCAGCTTATTATCATCTCATGCCAGCTTCTGATGATATATATGATAGATCATACTCATAGCTGTGAAGATGGAGCAATCTGCAGATGATATTATTGAAACCAGATGGCTATTTATCTAATTAAGGGGATTTTCTGAATGCTTTATCTATTGATTAGTCAGTCATGGTATTACTCGCGTTTGTGACACATTTGTGTGTGCAGAAGTTGGCAAGTCAGTACTAACAGAAAGAACTGAAGGTTATAAGTATTCCTAGTATCTTAGAATAGGGTTGTATGAACTGTTCATACTAGGGTTGTATGAACTGTTCATACAAGTCAACGTTTTGATGTTTAATCCTATAATTTAACTGTGCCTCCATGATGCAATTATTTTTTTTGGTCAATGGAAATTTTTATTCATTAACCATTTGTAAAGTTATGTACATCACACTTCTCTCATCTGAGATATCTATTTAACTTTTGAAAACAAAAAACTGAAAAATACAAAACTAGAGACAGTTAACTACAAGCTATAATGAGGTCAACCAGTCTTTAAGCTCAGACGGACAGGAGCTCTTTAGAATTATGGTAAACAACTCCACCTTGATTTCTTTGATCAGCACTTCCGGAGTTCTACACATTTGCTTGAAGATTCTCCCATTTCTCTCTTTCCAAATACAGTAGACTGAAGTGGATAAAGCCATTCTTTTAATTCTTTTTTTGTAACCCCTCCCCTTCAATCTATTGCAATACCAATTCATAAGCAAAACCCAATCACAAGTTCTCCACTTGAATTGAAGCCAATTAGTAATCCCATTCCATGATGCAATTAATCCATGATGCAATTACGTTTTATACAAACTATGTTGCTGATAAGTTTGCATGTGCAGCAAACAATGTACAGATTTTGATATGTTTGCTTGTACTCTCCATGTTTATTTCTTTCTAGAGCTTGATTAAGTGTTTATATATGATGTCTTGTTAATTGTGTAACATCTAATTTTCTTCTAGATCCATAAATTCCTTTTTTTATCTGGTCATCTACTCTATTATCTATGAAACTGATATGTTTGCTATTGAAAAACGATGATTTCTGTCCTAGTTTGCGGTGACATGGAAAGGAATGCGTCATCAGACGAAGATGTCGACGTGTGTGAGAACTACGTTGATCCCCATGCTGAGGATAGGGAGCTCAAAGGTCAGCTACTACGTAAATACAGCGGGTATCTTGGTAGCCTCAAACAGGAATTCATGAAGAAGAGGAAGAAAGGGAAACTACCCAAGGAAGCTCGGCAACAATTGCTCGACTGGTGGAATCGACACTACAAATGGCCTTACCCTTCGGTAATTCATCAACACACCCACTACAATTTCGTTTTGCTACTTTATTTCTGAAAAAACTTGTAAAATGTAGGGTTAATTGCATAAACACCCTTGAATGTTATCAGGGCATATCTGCTTATCACTCATGTTCTGAATTATTAGCACGTAAAACAACTCCTGACCATGCCGGAGGCATTATTTTTCCGTTAGCATTGAAAATTCATGTGGTAATCATGTGATTGTCAAAGTCAGACATTTGTCAAGAACATTTTTGAAACTCATGCGGGAATCAAGGACATTTTGGAAATGCAGGTGGGAATCATGTGATGGTCAAAGTTGGACATTTGTCAAGAACATGTTCGAAATTGACGTGTGAATCAAGTGATGGTCAAAGTTAGGACATTTATCAAAAACATGTTTAAGACTCGTGGGAATCATGTGTTGGTTAGAGTTGGACGTTTACCAAGAACATTTTCACATGATTCTCACAGAATGTTAGAAACCAGCAAAACGATAGTGACGTAACAAGGCTAGTGTTGTAATGCTAATAAAATAGCACAATGGTGATAAGTAGTTAAATCCTCAATAGTTAAGGGATGCATCTGCAGTTAATCCTAAATATTATAGCCTACAGTGTGTATGTATAAATATACTGTCTTTATTACTAGAAGCGAAATCCTTTTCCCAACTCTTGACCGATCTCAATTGCGTTGCAGGAGTCTCAGAAGTTGGCGCTTGCTGAATCGACGGGACTCGATCAAAAGCAAATAAACAACTGGTTCATAAACCAGCGTAAGCGCCATTGGAAGCCCTCCGAAGAGATCCAGACTTATGTGGTGATGGGCGACGCATCGCATCCCCACTACTTCCTGGACAACGGCTTCGGCAATGCATACCAGTTGGATGTTCCTCCAGCTCTTCTTTAATCACTGAAATCTAAGCAAATCTAAGCTTTTTCCATGTCATGTCAACTGTGTGCTCTATGAGTGTTGAAGCATTAGGCTCTCAGTTGTAGTGGATTCTATCATAACGCCTGTGTATTATTTGATATACTCGGTGATATGCAGTTGTGTTATTAAGCTTTTATTTTTTTCGCTTTTGTTTGAATTGGATATTGTTGTTTTGTGATGTTGTGATGTTTTTTGTGATGTTTGTGGGTCAATGCGTGTTTGGCTTTGTAAAGTGTCAATTGTCGGTGAAGTTTGGATGTTGAAAATGTTCTCTGAAGTTGCAGGTGGAAAGAGCTGGGTGACAGCTGGTGTGATGCGATTGGTCTGCCTGTTTCCTGTGGCTTGGACATTATTATTGGGAATGCGCACCTGCAGGGCTTTTTGTTTGCGCCTTTCAGTTCAACAAGTAGTTTCCTGGGTATCTACTCGGTCTGTACAAGTGGGAGAATCCAAGATTTACTATTTATACTATAGTAAGTACTACAGATAGAGTTGCAATAAAAGGAGCGGTTCTATGGTGCACTTTAGTGGGCGATTTCCCTCCTGCTAACTTGCACCCCCGCTGTGATTTTGATGGCGAGGAAGAAGAAGAACAATGGCAAAAGGATTCTTAGCATTGGATTAAGATCTTCAAATTCAAACTCGAACGCTTCTGATGAGCTATCCGAGTCTAGATCTGAAGATGGAGATGACGAAGATGTGAGTTCTTTCATCATGGAATCAACTGGACCAAAGCGAGTCTAGATCTGAAGATGGAGATGACGAAGATGTGAGTTCTTTCATCATGGAATCAACTGGACCAAAGGGAAAAGGAAAATTGAAATCTATGGGACGAAGATGTGAGTTCTTTCATCATGGAATCAACTGGACCAAAGGGAAAAGGAAAATTGAAATCTATGGCGGAGATTCTAAATTCCTCAAATTCTTGGATCGATGCTAGTTGTGTTCAGATCTTCTCTGATGGCGGGAATTCAAGATCGTCTACTCTGTAAGTCTCCTTTTCCTAGTATTGAAGGTTTCCTAGTATTGAAGGTAAGAGCTCAGTTAGGGTTTCTTGGGCTGATGAATCTGATTCGAAGATTTCATCCTCTGTTTCTAACCACCTGCAATCATCTTCAAGAATCGCTGATCCAAATCCTGATAATTCAATCTTAGAAACTGAAACTGTTACTGTTACATTGGTTTCGAATGAAAGTAAAGTGCTTAATAGTCCAGCGGAACCTATTGACTTGGACTTTCCTCCTCTTAAAACTTCTAAGGATGTTTCAGCTCAAGAAATCAATCCGAGTAAAAGTTGGACCAGTTTATTTGCTGATAATAGGAAGCCTGGAAGTGGTATGCTTCTAGATTTTGTTCCTTCTGAGACAAATAACTCTGTTGTTTTTGATGAAGAAGAATGGAATGAGGGTGCATCAATATGAAAGTTTTCTCTAATTGGACAGGTCCTGGGCTTAAATGTTAGATTCAAGGCAATAGAAAATTATGTGCATAAAGTCTGGAATCATATTCCTGAAGTTTGCCTGCTAAAATCTGGTTTATTCTTGTTCAAATTTAAGGGGAAAGATGAAATGGATGAAATTCTAAGCAAGGGTCCATGGTTTTTTGGATCCAGGCCAATGCTCTTGAAACCTTGGTCTATTGGAGAGGATGTTCACAAATCTGATGAATCCATTTATCCATTATGGATACAATTGCCTGCATTGAGGTTAAACTTGTGGAACTCTAAATGCATCAGTAAAATAGCTAGCATTATTGGCAAACCTATTGCAACTGATAAGATGACTGCAAATAAGCAAAGGCTTGCTTATGCAAGAGTTTTGGTGGAGGTTAATATGCCCTCTTCCCTTCCAGATCACATCACCATTCAAGGGCCTAATGGTAAATCTTACAATCAGATGATTACATATGAATTCAAGCCTAGATGGTGTGATTTGTGTAAATGTGTTGGTCATGACACAAATTATTGTAAAAAGCAAGCCATAGTCCAAAAGTGGGTTCCTAAGCAAAAACCTGTTTCAAATAATATTCAGGAGGCTCCAGTAACTGTTACAAATGAGGGGAGTAACCATAAGAATAATGTAGGGAGCAGAATGGTAGATCCTATTGGGGGAAATTTTGAGCAAGTTGTGCATGCTCCACTTACTGGCTATGAGGGATTCCAGGAAAATGATTCAAGAATAAGAATTACTGATACTGGAAATGTTCTGTGTCAGAAGCAATCTCCATCTATTGAGAATATTGGACTTATTGACACTGGTTTTAAGTCTATACAAAACAATGGAAATTCTGCACATATTTCAGCAAACTTCAGAATATCTGAACCTGTGCATGCTGTGCATGTTCTTAACTCAGGTACTGGATTCTCTCAAGCTGGAAGCCCCTGGGTTCAAATTCAAAGAAGGAATCTGAAACATCCTGATACTCTTGTTAACAAGTTTTCCCAGCTGGAATCATTGACTCTTGATCCCTCTATAATTGATAGAGGGGGGCTGAATTAAAGATGAATTTATACTTTTGGAATATTAGAGGGCTGAACAAGTCCTCTAAGCAACATCTGGTAAAACTTTTTATAGCTCAATATCATCTATCTTTTATTGCTTTACTGGAAACAAAAATTAGTGACAGGAGAATGCCTATCATTGCTAAGAGAATAGCAAAAGACTGGAATTGCATTACTAATACTGGTTATGCTAGTAAAATCAGGATTATGATACTGTGGGATCCAAATGTCCTGGATATAAATTTTGAAAACTTTTCAGCTCAACAAATTACTTGCACTGTTAAATCTCTTGATGGAAGCTTTAATAGTGTTATCTCAACTATCTATGGACTCAACCATATTGAAGGGCGAAAGGATCTATGGAATGAATTAAGGATCATTCAAAACTCAATTGGGAACTCTCCTTGGCTCTTGTGTGGAGATTTCAATTCTATTATTAGCAATGATGAAAAATTGGGAGGATCTTTACTTACTGAGGCTGACTTCAAGGATTTCAATGACTTCATTCAGGACTCAATGCTAAATCACTTGAAAACCATTGGTTGTTTCTACACATGGAATAATAAACAGGATGATATCTCCAGAATTTGGTGCAGTCTGGACAGAGCTTTGGTTAATGATTCTTGGATCCATAATTTCAATTCTAGCCAGGTTGAATTCCTTCTTCCAAGCTTCTCAGACCATTCTCCTGCTTTGGTCTCCATTCTAGAAGACAGAATTCAAGGTAAAAGGCCTTTTAAATACTTCAATATGTGGGCTAAGCATGACAAATTCCTTACTGCAGTGTCAAGTATTTGGCAATCATATATTCCAGGTTGTAAAATGTATTCAGTTCATACAAAATTTAAAAACCTAAAAGGAGTTCTTAAAGATATGAACAAGAGGCATTTCCACAACATCAGTGAACAAGTCCTGAGAGCAAATCAAAACTTGGAAGAAGCTCAACATAATCTTCAGGCTAACCCTCTATGTTAATCTTTAATCAGTAAAGAGAGGGAATGTTTAGCTTCATATAACAAGTTGCTAGAATGTGAAATGTCCTTTCTCCAACAGAAAGCCAGAATTGCATGGAGTATCAAAGGAGACAGGTGTACAAATTTTTTCCATTCCGTCATCAATAACAATAGGCATCATAATAAGATGATGGTTCTCTACAATGATATGGGTCACAGAATCACAGATGGAGATGAGATTGCAAAGGAATTTGTTTCATATTACAAGAATCTCATGGGTAAGGCAAAGGTTACTTCTAAACCTGATTTTGACATTATTCAATCAGGTCCTTGTCTGACAAATGCTCAAGCCACTTTGCTCTCTAACCCTGTCACCAAGGAAGAAATCAGAAAAGTTATTTTCTCCATGTCTGAAAATAAATCTCCAGGTCCTGATGGGTATGGATTTTCTTTCTTCAAATCAGCTTGGTCTATAGTGGGAAATGATGTTACTCTGGCAATTGAAGAATTTTTTAAATCTGGAAAGCTTCTAGGGGTGGTTAATTCAACTTCAATCACTCTAATTCCAAAGGTGAAGTGCCCTAAAACCCCTGTAGATTTCAGGCCCATCTCATGCTATAATTGCCTATATAAATTTATCTCCAAAATCTTGGCAAACAGATTAAAATCAGTATTATGCTGTTTGGTAAATGAAGCTCAAAGTGCATTTATAAAGGGTAGACAAATCACAAGTAACATAATGTTGGCACATGAATTAGTGAAAGGATATGGCAGGAAACACAAGGGTAGACAAATCACAAGTAACATAATGTTGGCACATGAATTAGTGAAAGGATATGGCAGGAAACACACATCCCCTAGAGTCATGTTAAACATTGACATCAAAAAAGCCTTTGACACTATCAGTTGGGATTTCTATCAGTTGGGATTTCTTGAATGATATGCTTAAGGGTTTGAAATTTTCAGATTTCATGATTAACAGAATTATGGCTTGTGTTACTAGTCCAAAATACTCTATCTCTCTTCATGGACCTCTTCATGGATCTCTTCATGGACATTTCAAAGGAGAGAGAGGCCTGAGGCAGGGTGACCCTCTTTCCCCATATCTCTTTATTTTGGGTATGGAATATCTGTCTAGAAGCTTGAATATCCTCAAGAATGACAACCAGTTTTGATATCATCCCAAGTGTGGAAAAATGAAGCTTACTCATCTTATTTTTGCCGATGATTTGCTGTTATTTGGGAGGGGAGATTTATATTCAATCCAGAAATTGTATCAATGTGTTAGGAAGTTTGGTGAAACTACTGGCTTGGAAGCAAATCAAGATAAATGTTCTGTTTTCTTTGGTGGAGTAAATGAAATAGTTAAGAATGATATTATTAATCTCTTGGGATTCAAAGAAGGCTCTTTTCCTATCAGATATTTGGGTGTGCCTCTCATCAGCAAAAAGCTTTCATATGTGGACTGCAATGCACTCATTAATCAAGTGTCTAACCAGTTTCAAAACTGGATAAAACACATAAAACTCTCCTATGCAGGCAGACTGGTAGTTATCAGGAGTGTAATTCTGGGGATTCAAGTGTTCTGGACTTCTAATTATGTCTTGCCAATCAAAATTACCAGGAAAATTGATGAAATGTGCAGAAGCTTTTTATGGGGGAATTCCAAATCACCCCTTGTTGCCTGGGAATCAGTATGCTTGGGAAGAAAGCAAGGGGGTCTTAGGGTATTCTCTGCCACTACTTGGAATCTGGCAGCTTCATTGAAGCTCTTATGGTTCATTCACATTAACAAAGAATCCCTTTGGATTAAATGGGTACATGGTAACTACTTGAAGCAAAGGGACATTTGGAATGTTAGTCCTAAGATTGGTGATTCCTGAATGTGGAAACAAATATTGAAGAAGAGAGACAAGGCTATATCTATTTGTGGAGGGTGTGATAACCTGTTGGAGCTCCTGAACTCTTGCTTGAACAACTCAAAACCTCGGTTATCTACTCTGTATCATTTCTTCTCCCTAGTTTCTCAAAGAGTGCCTTGGCATGACACTGTATGGGACAAAATGAGCTATCCAAAACACACTTTCATATTCTGGCTTGCAGTGCAAAATCGACTACTTACGCAAGATAGATTGATGAGGAGGGGAGTCATAGATACAAATGTTTGCAGATTGTGTTCAACTGAAAGCTTAGAAAGTCGAAACCATCTTTTTTTTGAATATGGGTTTTCCAGTGAAGTTTGGAATTGTGTCATGAATTGGTTAAAATTCACCTGGAAGTCTTGCGACTGGAGAATCTTATTGGAATGGTTTTGCACTGGACTGATGGGTAAAGGATTCAAGTATGGTATCAAACGTATGGCTCTTGCTGCAACAATATAGAGGATCTGGGTTGAGAGAAATGCTCGGATTTTCCAACAAAAGCAAAAGAGTATGGAGTGCTTGATTAAGGATATTAAGATGGATATTCTTATGTCCAATCTTAATGCACCAATATCGGATGAGAATAAGGAGTGGTTATGCTCCCTGTAAAGCCTGCTCATTCACAATTATTTTTCTTTTTGATTGATTTCAGGTCTTAGTCTTGGTTATCTCATTGTATAGGAGATACTTTGATGTACATAAAACTCTCATATTTGGTAATGAATAAAAATTTTCATTGACCAAAAAAAAAAATACTACAGTGAATATTAGAGGGGGTTTGCTTCAAATCATATAATTTTAGGATATGGATTTTACCACGGGATTTGAAATCCATAGGTAATTTGTTATGGGTTGAGATTTCTAAAACTTTGTTTGTTTCAACAATATTTTAGGATTTGGAATACTATAATTTGTAATATTTTTGTTTGTTTTAAACTTTTTAGAATTTGAAATCCTTAATTTGTTTAACACTTTTGAAATCCACCTCATATCCTACCAAAAAAAGAGGATTTAACAAATTCTTAAATATAATACTTTTTTATTATTTGGGGATTTGATATTCTAAAATTTGTTTTGAAACAAACAACTTTTATGGAATTCTAAAACTCCAAAAAAACCCATTTTTTGATCCTAGAATTTGAAATCCCACCCAAATGGTAAATTTTTTTTGGAACAAACACCCCCTTAATGTAGCATTATTACTGTAGCATACGAGATACTATAGCATTTAAAAAAAATTTGTTATGACAGGGGCAAAGAACTGTAGTGTTCTTTGAAAATACTATAGCATTAATATTGTAGCACGGGTATACTGTAATAATTAAAAAAACACGAGATATTGTAGCAATTCAAAAAAATCTTACTGCAGCACTTAAAAACATAATTACTGTAGCATAAAAAAATTTATCGTCATGCTTTTTGCATGGACAACACACTAGTTTTATTAATGTCAACAATGCAATGCCTACCTAGATATCAGTCCCCCAAGATTCTGATAATTGCATGTTAGTACCTTGAATATCTGAAATTTTGCCCACAGGTCTCTGAAATCTCAATAGTCCTGCAATTTGGATTCTTAGTGATCAACGTACACATCAGTTTTTGTTTGCGCTGAAAACCCGCGCGTTTGAAAAAAATTAGCTGTGGGTTCTGGTCATTGACGGACTAGACTGCAAGGCCCCTTGGGCTTTGAGGGACATATGTGCAAAATTTCAAAAAGATCCCGAGAGACTCATTTATAATATGAAACAAACTGAAGATTTGAGCAACTAATATATATCTAAGAAAAAAAAGCCTAAATATCTCTCGCATGTTTTATATTCACATTTGCAACACCGACTTCATGAAACCCTAGGGTAAATAGCCAGGAAAAAGGGTCAAATACTGGCTGAGATTATGCAATGATGGGTTATATAATTGTGGGCTTATATAATAAAGGGCCGCCATCACAAGTCCAGCCCAACATAACATGCCCTCTTTCTTCGTATCAACCCAGTAGCTCTCCCTCATTTCTGTGACAACTTAATAATACACCACGTGTACACAAGAATTACATTAACTGGCATTATAAAAGCTTCCCTTAACTATGAATAAATAAATACTATAATCCGAAAGCTTTAGTCTCTGTAATATTTTCTAATTATACACACACTTACCTAAACTGTTGAATTTAATACAACATATCTCACAACACAAAGCACCAACCCACCAAAAATGCCATCATTTTCTTCCACTTCAAATTACGTACCAACGGTTTGAGAGCTAGTTTTTGATGCCAAACTAATTGAAGAAACTAACCGCGACACAAGCACAGCTTCATTGCTGACAGTAGCTTTGGATGCAGCGACATCTTCCAACCGCTTCCATAGAAGGTCGCGCTTCTCCTGTGCTTCTTTCTCTTTCGCCTCGTCTTCTTGGAATTTGCGCAAGCAATCCTCAAAAAGATCTTGGTCAGAATCCAAGAAGAGTTTTCTAACATTCAGAGTCAAGCTCTGTACTGCTTGGTTCCAGTGACCTCTTGTGCTCTTTTCTAAAGATGGGAAGATTATTGGTAGAATCACTCTGCGGTTTTGAGTGATGAGATTTCGTATGTGATCATTGTTCCACAAAAACAGAGTTCTTTCAGCAACCTGAAGCATAAAAAAATTATTACAGTTAAACCAAAGCCCTTTTCGTAAATAAAAAACCAACAAGATTAGCATGATATAATAAGGATAGCACGGCCATTAGCATATGTGAACCAGTAAGCACATAGAATAGGAAAGGATATTAAAATGTTCTCAGTGAATGACCAATGAGAACAAATCCAGTTGCAAGTGGTCATAACAACTTCAAGGAGTCCAGAAGCTTGTAAGCTTGTGAATTCCGAAGTTCCATGAGTTTCCAATCCCACAATCCTTTTCCGAACCAATAATACTAAAACGTTTAAGTAAAAAGCAAATAACCAATCTCAAACCAAAAAAACCAAAAAGGTTGTTCTGAAAAATCGACTCTCATCCAAGAGTCTCAAACTAATAACAGCCAGGTAGTATATTCTACTTTGCATGCTGAGTTTCAAAATTCAAGTTCATATTGGTGAACAGAAGAAAGGTGATGAAGTTTGCTGAGACCTTCCATATCAGTCAGACAACAAAGTGCCTGATCAGCAGTGTAAGATAATGAGACAAGAAATTCCTTTCTCATTATTTGGGTATTAAAGGTTAAGCCTCCAGGAGAATTTATTAAATTCAGGTGCATCTCTCTGAACTCAGAGGGCAGGGCATGACTAGGGCATGACTAACTTTAATCTGCCCACAGGGCATCGTGTTTATCATAGTGGATGATCCAATTGTTTATTTTGATTTTAGAAACCTTATGATGTTGTTTAACAATGCGTCAAGCACGAAAGTAAGGGCGGGTTAATTAAAAAACAGTTAGAAAGTTAATGCTGGCTAAGTCAACCATGTGTAGATAAGGTGCTTAGGGAAACAACAGGAGTTTGATGGGAAGGTTGAATGGGCTAATGCTTTCTTTCAAACAAAAACCTTCATCTTTTTCCAATCTTTGCAAATATTAAAGAACATATGGTTTAAATTTCATCAACCATATAATGATTATTTGAGATGAATAAGACAAATGATATACGCATATTTCTAAAAGAAATTTAATTATCAATATTAATATCACATCAATTTCAACTATTATCAATGTGCAACACATATTTCTAAATACGATAATAATAAAGAGCCATGGCAGAAACAATATTAGTGGGTGAGGGTTGTTGAGATTTTACAAACCAACAGATTTCTTTTTGTTTTTGCCATACTCCTGAGTCACTCCTTTATGAGAATATTTGGTTATCCCTTAGCCAACATATATATGCAGGTTTGGTAAATCTTAACCCAGGTTAACTTGTTTAATTTGTTTGTTAGGGTTATCTAAACCCATTTTAAAATTGTTTGGTAATAGATCCTGAAGTTAAAGTATCTTCAAACCTGATTTAACCTGACAACATACGTAGCCTAAAACAGGTACTAAATAAGGACATTTTGCCCAAGCATCAAGTGGTTCAATAATTGAAGGTCTTTTGACAATATAACTAAGTTACAGGGGTTATAAGTTCTTTAAACAATGCTATGTTCATGGATGTTTCAAGGTATGTGGGTCATAACAAGTAGAATGGATGGTTGCGAGACAACTTTGACTAAGGTACTCGGCAGATCCAAGTATCTGAAGTACTTAAACATTGTTTAATAGACGAAAAATAGGATGCAAGTATCTGAAGTCCTTGCAATAATATCATTTTGAATCCATTCCATTTGAATTGGTGCTTTCTACATCACAATTTATTGTGAGGAGGAGACATCTACGATAACTAGCATTAGACAATTTCTTTGTGAAAACTATATCTGGTTAAATGTGGACCACACCATTCTCCAACTTATGGCCTCTTCTCTATGGTACCCATTGTTTTGCTTCATTAGTAGGCTTGCAATAAAACTTTGATCGTTATGGATTAGTACCAAAGATCGAGTTCTAGGCAAGTGGAGCTAACTTTAACAGTTGGAACAGTAACAACGTAAATGGCTCCTTCTACAGTGAGATTATATGAGCAAATGCCTGAACCAAAGTATGTCATTGCTATGGGAACCTATACTATTACAGAACGGATATTCAGTACTAATTCTAATAGCACTTTTTGGGGATTTGATAAGTCAATAACTGTGGATGTCTATTTGCCGGGCTGCCAGCCTAAATCAGAAGCAATTATAGATGCTATAACAAAATTTCATAAGAAGATATCTCAAGAAATCTTTGAAGATAGAACTTTGTCTCAAAAGGAAAATTGTATGTTTTACTACTAATCACTAGTTTATGTTTGACATAGTACTCATACTAGAAATTAAGATCAAGGATTAGTTTATAAATCACTATCTACTTCAGAGATACTTTTTGTAACATTTTTTAAATCCAAAAGTTCAACATCTTCACACAAATTAGTGTATTAGGCAAGGTTTGTCTGTGCATAATAAGAAAGAGTGGGTGAATCTTTCAAAAATTCATTGGAAATAGAAAATACTCGTACAAATACAAATGTGGGTGAAATCAAGAAAGATGTAGGTTCATTTATCTAATTGGTTAGCCAAGCACAAACTGATTCATAGATATTTGGGCTTCGATTGCCGAGGGGTAGAGACTTTACAGATAAAAACTGAGGATTGGGACTCCTTTCCTATCATTTCATACGTATATGGCTACAGTTATTTAAGCTCCCAGCGTGCCTATGGGCTATGATGCAACACCAACGGATTTTTAGATACTGTGTATCAAGGTTTTAAATATTGGCCAATTAATCGATATTATCGGTGATTTATCGATTTTGGAGCCTTCTGCTATGATAAGTTAAAATTTTAATCGGTTATCGTTTTGGGGTAACTATCGGCAACAAAGCAGCGATAAGCTGATAAATCAGCCGAGTTTAGCAGTAAAAATTATCATAATTATCGATTAGTGATCTTAAACATGTGCATTTACATTTGGTTAGTTATCTTAAACACGCACATTTAAATTTTGGTATGTATTTCATTAAGTTTTTACAGTTAGTTTATCTTGTTATTTGCTTCTATGTTATTCAAGATTATATTTTAGGGTATTATATCATGCATGCACACCCTTCGATATGACATTCCGATAAATACTACTTATCCCCGATTTTTGCTATCCGATAGGGATTTTGACTGTTCGATAAATCCCTAATAAACGATATTTAAAACTTTGTTGTGTATCATCTTACGAAAATACGGTACGGTATAGATAAATGCATTTTAGGTTTGCATCCATGTAAAAGTATTGATGAATACACAACAAAGTATTGTTTCATTCAAGTTTCCTATTCATTTTTATGTTTTGTCATAGTACACAACAAACAACAGTAGAAATATCACTTTTACCATAAGTTTCTAAGAACAAAGAGAGATAAAATTAATGGATAAATGCATTTTTTTCATGCAGAAACAGTCATCACTTATAGGGCAAAAGGTAAGACTGTAGATTAGGGAAACACTGACCAATATTTGGTCAAATAAACATAGAACAACACAGGAAGAAAAACTCAAGTTCATGATAACAAAGCTTTAAGGAGGCAATTAGGATATAAAAATGGAATATCAAGGTGTTAATCAATCAGTAAGAACATCACCACAGGGTATTAACCAGAACCTTCAAGGTAAAATGACGCCTTCAAGTTTCTCTTGTGACCTCACAGTACTTCCAAGACTAAAAAGGCAACAGTCTAGGCGATGTATGACTACAGATGCCAGTGAAGATAAAGTGAACCCATTTGATTAATGGAGTTGAAGTAGAGCCCAGAAGAAAACAGCTTCACCTCCTTCAACTGAGTATCCTTTATGCCTGATATAATACTTACAATATATTGACAATTATCCTGTGCCTTTTAACCCACATATAAATGTTGTTTATTGAAGACACAATAGGTGATAAACAAATTAACTGTAGACATTGGTAGATCATCTTAACATATTCACTATCCCATTAATCCTCATGCTGAAAGCATATAGCATGCACAAGATTAAGGGACGGGCTTCATGTTGTGAAAGCATATAGCATGCACAAGATTAAGGGACGGGCTTCATGTTGGCCTTAAGTGAAACATAAATATTGAGAAATATAGAATCCACCTAAAAGAGTCAATACTCAATAGGCTCATCTAGGTCAAAGGTCTCTAAAACCAGTTCTCAAATTTAGATATTGAAATATGTCAGAAGTGGACTTCTATGTGACATCTTGCACTATGATCAGAACAAACTCGACAGCATCATGTATTAAAAGAAATCCATTTTGTGTTCTTGGTATTATTGATTAGGTTCACCCATAAGGCACATGGAGGCTTTTCCAGTTATAAAATACTTTTAGCCATAGCCACTTCAAACATCTGGAGCTTTCACTGACACAAAGCATATAATAAAGTTCAGTTTGTGTGGCAAGGTCAGTATGGTTGCTATGATACAATCAAGGATTCAAGAAAGTCATGTTCGGGGATCAGGAAGATGATGATAGTGTAGCTTTTACAATGTGAATCTTGAATTTGTATAATTCTACTCTTAACAAAAGTATGTGAAACTGACTTGTATATCTCATGATAAATCGATCCCGTGTGGAACATAGGAGGTGGAAATCCAAATAGAAGTAAAAGCAGAGCCAAGGGAAATCCTAGTTCCTACCAACAATAAAATGCCTCTACGAACTGCAGTATGTGCTGATGCTATTACCTCTCATCCAACACAGAAGATTTACTTTCAAAGATAGATATTCACTAGCAAGAATTATCTTAGGCCAAATAATTAGACCCGAGACCAGTCACTCTTAAGGCTTTAAGCAAAACTCAATGTAAAAAAGTTTACAATTTTGTTGTTGGACTGCTCTTGGACTTATGAGGACCACAAAGTTAAACAAATAATGGATTTTTTTTAAAAGTAGACAAGCATATCTGCAAGACCCACATCTTTTGTCACGAATAGGATCTTCTCATAGACTTTTCACTAAAACAATGGTCTCAATATCGTACGTGAAAATGAGTTTGCAATTTGCACATTCTCTCTAAACTGCAAAATAAAGGTCCAATCTTCACCAAAAGACTAAGCTCACAGAGATTATATGCAGTGCTATTCATTTCCCAAACTTCGTTGAATGTATATACCCAAAGAACATAGTCAACTATCTCTCTATGTGCTCTACATTATTCGAGTATCTCGAAACATGGAACATGTCTTTCTCTAGGTATCATTGTTCCCCTACTTAACCCACACTCCTACTTGTAAAAGTTAAGTCATTCAAAAACCAAGATCGTAGTTTTTATCAGATACTGGATTGGACTTTCAAACGTCTTTCTTCAGTTTAAGATCATAATTTTTATATTTTAGTGTCTAAGGTTATATTTTGTTTTTATTTTAATTTTGATAAAGAACATACTACACTACTCATCGTTACACATTAGATGGTCTTCAATGCTTCATGAGGGCCTTAACTTGCTTTTTTGTTTTCTTGAAATATTTTTAGGGTAAAATGGCAAAACTTAAGAGCTTGAAGCCGAAGATAAATGGAGAGGATTTCATATTTAAGTATCTCTTTATATTTAACTACCAACTTCTTGAACAGTTTAGGTATTTTCCTCTTTCTGTTTTCTTTCTTTTTTTCAAGGGAGGGGGTGACAATAGCCACACAAACTACCTTTTGTTTGTTACTCTCTATGATCTCTCCCTCAATCACTTACAATCATGTAGTTGCAATTGCTATATTACATAAGCACAGGTAGCTGAAGAAAATAAGATTGAGGAGGAAGAGATCATAAAAGAGTCTGACAAAGAAAACATAGTTTGCGTTGCCATCATCGCCTTCTCCCCTGATTAGTTAAATATAAAGAGATACCTATATCTGAAACCCTCTCCATTTATCTCCCCTATCAATCTCGAACTTTTGTGCTTATACTCAATGAATTATTTCGAGAACAAGAAAGAATAAGACTATGCCCTCATAAAACACTAAAGACAACGTACTGTGTAGCAATGAGTAGAGTAGGACATTCTTTATCAATTAAAATAAAAATAATTTACAACATTATAGATTAAAATATTAAAAATCATAATATCAAACTGAAGAAAAGACATTTGAGAGTCCAATCCAATATCTGATAAAAGCTAATAATGTACCTTATACATTTGAAGCATGTATCGGTTGTATTAGATATTGACACAGTTTTAGTTGTATTAATACTCGATGAACCCTCAAATAGTCTTTATCAATTAAAATAAAAATAAATTAAAATATTATAGATTAAAATATTAAAAATCATAATACCAAACTGAAGAAAAGACATTTGAGAGTCCAATCCAATATCTGATAAAATCTAATGATGTACCTTATACATTTGAAGCATGTATCGGTTGTATTAGATATTGACACAGTTTTAGTTGTATTAATACTCGATGAACCCTCAAATAGTTTCATGCTCCTTCCCTCCACGATAGATGTTAGCGCATTGCACTTGGTCACAGCTTTCATTCCCCTAATCTTCATTACATTTGACCTTCCAGAAAGAATGTTGTCTTCAAATTTCTCTTGTGACCTCACATATACTTCCCAGATTATATAACTGAACAGTCTAGATGACGTATGAGCACAGATGCCAGTGAAAATACTGGTATAATACTTTGGCAATTATCTTGTGCCTCCTAACTCACAAATAAATGTTGCTCACTGAAGATATAATAGGTGAACCACAAACTAACTTAGTAACTGTACACAGTGGTTGATCATCTTAAGATATTCACTGTCCCATTAGCCCTCGTGTTGTGAGCATAGAACAGACACAGCAGTAAGCGGCGAGCTTTGTATTAGCCTTAAGTGATGCAAGGGAACAAGGAATTCAGAAGCAACCTGAAGTAGGGTCAATAGGCTCCACTAGGTTAAAGATTTCCAAGAATCGGTTCTCACTTTTAGATATTGAAATGTCCAAGGAGGGCTTCTATATGGCTTGCACTATGACCACAACAAAATTAATAGCAACATCTATCAACATGTTTGTTGTTCTTGTTATTATCGTTGAGGTTCAACCATGAAGCACAAGGAGGATTTTGCAGTTATATAATACTTTTAGTCATTAAAAAAAACATTTGGAGGTTTCACCAATGCCATGTACCTTTGTGCGACAAGTCAGGTATATTACCCAAAAAAAAGTCTATATGGAGAAGGTGATGCCGGTGTAGCTTTTAAAGTGTGAATCTTGGATGTGTATAATTCTAGTATTAACAATAGTAAACAAAGCTGCATTATACATCTGATGGTAAATTAATCCCATATGGAAGATGGAGGGTGGCAAATAGAAGCAGAGAGGAGCAAAATCCCAGTTCCTTACAAACAATGAACACCTCTACAACATGTGCTAGGAGCTGATAGCCTGATACTACAACCTATCTCATCCAACTGAGAAGACTTACTTGCAAAGATAGACATCCACAAGCAAGAATTATCTTAGGCCATGTAATTATACCTAAAGACCAGTCAATTCTAAGCTAAAGAGGTGACAGGACAAGAATGCTTTAAGCAAAGCTCAATATGAAAAAGACTATATAACTTACTGCAGTTGGACTGCTCTTGGATTTACCAGGACCACAAAGTTCAAAAAATAATGGATTTTCCAATCTAGACATGCATACCTACAAGACAAACATCCTTTGTCATGAATAGGAGCTTCTCTAGACTTCCTATCAAACCAATGGCCTCATACAATATAATACGTGGAAGAGAGATTGCATATACTCTTTAAACTGCAAAAAGTCCAACCTTCAAAAAAATACTAAGCTCACAGAAACGATATGCAGTGCTCATTCGTTCCCCAAACCTCATTCTAGGCAAATATCCGATGAACATTGTCAAATATCAATTATACCTCTACACGTCCTGCATTATTCGAGTTCTCAAAGCACAAAAGATACCTTCCTCTAAGTCCTACTGTTCCACGACTTAACGCACAGTTCTACTTTTTCTATACTTAAGTCATTCAAGAGACAAGGATCATAGATTGATTATTCTACCTACTTATACAGACAACACACTTACTCAAATCCAGAATTCCATTTGTTGAACCTATAACTCTAAACACCTAACTTGAAGTATGTTTTCAATAACTATGAAACAAAACCAAACTACATTAGCAATTGAACCAGATACAAGCAAAAAACAAACTACCTGAAAATGTGAACTATTAAGGCACCTCCCTATCTGCCGAAACAACGGAATCATACACCTCTGAAACTCCACCGGCTGTGTCAACTCCAGCACCTCTTCCAACTCTCCAAGAAACATCACCTCCTTTGAGCTATTCGTCACTGGCCAATACTTCAGCAGCCCCCTGATCACTATATCCGCCAACTTAAAATCCTTCTCCACAAACTGAGTAATACAATAAGACAACTGCTGATGATAAACCCCAACACACTTTGGCTTATGCAAAGGAATCAAAGCCCTAACGAGAAACAACTTATGCTCCTCCTTTAACGGCAATGCAAACCCATTAATTATACTCCCCAAAATCTCCAACAACTCCCCAATCCCATTATGCTTCTCTGTCTCAAAAATAAACCTGTAGAAAATATTATTAATCGCCTTTCGGATATAAGGGCGATGAACCATGAATTTCCCATAAACCCTATGCAATATAGTCTTCAAGTACTCTCTTTCTCTCTGATCCTCAGAATCAAACAAATCAAGCAATCTCAAAACAAAAGAATGATCAACATATCTCTTAGCAATCTTCGCATCAGTCTCCGGCGATGCCACGAATCTCAAGAAGAACTCGTAAACAATCTGAAGGTGCGGCCACGCCGGGTCCATGGAAGGCTCATCGTCGTCTCCATCGAGCCCGTCGGCAGATCTCGAATCGATGTTATTCGATGAAGGCAGAGACCGAAAGAGGTTAGCGGCGACCATTTCGACGGCGGCGTGCATGGCAGGCTCAGCGAGCTTGGTCGAGTTGGTGGTCGTAACGTAGTCGACGAGCTCGAGTAGGGTTTGGCGCTTGATTTCCTTCTCCTTGAGGTTTTTGGCGGGATCGGAGAAGTCGAAGACGAGGGAGCAAAGAGCGAGCTTTTTGAGGAAAAGCGAGGGCTTTTCAGCGGCGGAGACGTCTCGAAA